ACTTTCTTTTTAGCTTGTTCTCTATCCATCTCTCGAAAATGTGGGCGTTTCCTGCCTGGCAGCCGCTGGTTATCCAATTTTGTTGAAACTTGAAATGTAAGTTTATAACCCAAAGATCTCAGTTCCCTTCGATATTCGCGCATATCGGACCGTAACTTCCTGAATTATGGCCCCTGATTGTATGAAAAATCGCGTTTTTAGCTTGTGGACCCTATAGAGGTTATAATTTTTATTCGATTTAAAAAAAAAAAAAACGTTTTAGTATATCACCGTTACACCCTAAGGATAGCTGCGTTCGAATTTCGTGAAGATCGTCCCAAAAATGGCCGCCTCACATTCTGAAATAGCGAAAAAAATATGGTATATCAAGGTTGTGGACCCATAGAGGTCGCTGCCTGTCCAACCTCTTGGGTTTTCTCCGGGTCCTCCGGTTTCCTCCCACTGCTAAAGACCCCTATGTGCAAGCGATTTATTGAAATAAAAAAATTAAACCATATGTTAGTTCCGTAATGACCTAGTTTGTGTTGAGTGGACGTTAAACCCAATTTCTCTCTCTCTCTCTCCTATAGAGTTCACAATTTTAATCCTATGTTGATGAAACTTGAAATGTAAGTTTATAACCCAAAGATCGCGGTTCCTTTATTGGACTGTAACTTCCTGAATTATGGCCCCTGATTGTACTAAAAATCGCGCTTTTAGCTTGTGGACCCTATAGAGGTCATAATTTTTATCTGATTTAAAAAAACGTTTTAGTATATCACTGTTACACCCTAAGGATGGTTGAGTTCGTATTTCGTGAAAATCAGCCCAAAACTGACAGGCAAAATTGCCGTCCATCGTTCTCAAATAGCATAAAAATATGGTATATCAAGGTTGTGGACCCTCTAGAGGTCACAATTTTCTTCTGATTTTGATGAAACTTGAAATGTTAGTTTATAACCCAAAGATCTTGGTTCCTTTCAATATTCGTGCATATCGGACTGTAACTTCCTGAATTGCGTTTTTAGCTTGTGTACCCTATAGTGGTCATAATTTTTATCTGATTCAGATTTAAAAAAACGTTTAAATATATCACCGTTACACCCTAAGGATGGTTGAATTCAAATTTCGTAAAAATAGGATCAAAACTGACAGACAAAATGGCTGCCCCTCGTACTCAAATAACGTAAAAATATGATATATTAAGGTTGTGGACTCTCTAGAGGTTACAATTTTCTTCTGATTTTGATGAATCTTGAAATTTAAGTTTATAACCCAAAGATCTCGGATCCTCTCGATATTCGCATATATTGGACCGTAACTTCCTGAATTATGGCCCCTGATTGTACGAAAACATCGCTCTTTGTTTAGCCTGTTCTCTATCCATCTCTTGCAAAATGTGGGCGTATCCTGCCTGGCAGCCACTGGTATTTTATTTAAAGGAATTTCAATTATGGTTGTTACGTGAATAAAAACTTTGTAAGTTACATGATAGACAAAAACAATAATTTGTGTTTTAAATATAAAGAAATGCCATGGAGTCGTATCAGCTTATTTTGGCTATAGCATTTTCCGATACTGGCCGTAGTAGAAAAATCCTAATTTCGATCGACTGATGATATCCGTTAATTAATCAATCAAGCAAACAAAGACAGTAATCTATTCAGGCATAATACTGACTTGAACTTGTTGTCGTCTGGTTATATTAAAGTTAACAGGAGCTTCGAATTACCTATTTCTTACCGGGATCTCATTTGACCCAATTCTGGCCGGTTGCTTTCAAAATGGATTAAAATCTCTGGTCTTGATCACAAATGCTAACAAAGCTCTCCTCAAGAGATTCAGGAGAGCTTTCTCCAGGGTACGAAATAACACGCGAACGGTCGTTCAGGTTACGCATCGGTTACCATGACCTGGAAACACGCGAACGGACTTCCGTTCTCGACCACCGAGCTATAATTTATAAACTAAAGGTTTCAGTTAAAATATTCCCTCCACTACTACATTAAAACATTTTACAATTATAAATAAATGTCTGAAAGATCGTTAAGTTCGCACCTGTCATTTTGGCGGTAGCAAATCAACTCGCGGACCCATCATACCTGGCAACGACATACTCATTTGCCTCTTTAGCGAACGAAAGCGCCAGATCAATCAACTGATTTCTATTGTTTTTATTTCTTAGATTAATGGTGATTGAGTAATAAAAATAAAACACCCAATGAAAAGGAATGTTATATTCGCAAATTATCAAATAAAAAACATACTTTTCAACAATGGATCTTCCGGTATTTACGTAATAGGTCAGAGGTTAAAATTCACACCATGTCAATGACTTTGGCATTATTCCAATATTTTCACGTTGTCACTCACGGCTAATAATTTTATGACATGGAAAGTGAAATGGAATAAGATTTTTTATGATTTACTGCCAGGCATATCGTAGAACATGATAATGTCGAAGAAATCAACTATTTGTTATTTTTGGGGGACGTTATGAATGATGCGAAGCAGCCGAGATCAAGCGTGTCGGCCGCCATATCTTGGATACGTTTCCAGACAGACGATACCACAAAACTTACGGATAATAATTCTAGAGTTTGGAAAGCTAAATTGAATCAAAACTTTTAGGATTTAATACAAGCTACATAGAGGAATATTACATTGCAACTATATATTTTTATTTTCGATGCTATGAAGCAAAGAAGACGACAATTCCCACCATATATCCAACAAAGGCAGAAATGTCACATAGCGATGAAGTGACGGTCATTTGGGGCGATATTTCTTTCTAAAAGTTATATATTTATATTTACTTTGAACACTGTTCTTTTTTTTTAAATAAAATCTTAGGAGATACATGTTCACGTTTATTATGACAGAGAAAAGTCATAATTTTAGTGGAACTGACTTTTCAATATTATTTATAGTAATATACCGGTAATTGTTAGTTTGTACAATTGAATTTTATATCATTGGAAAGAACACGACAATCTGTACATTTTTGTATAAAAAAATTTTTTATTTAGTTATTTGCAATTTTGTTGAGAGTTTTAGGATTAACAATAATCCACTAATTCGCTTAGGGATATGGGCCCTGCTGATTTAATAAGCTTAGGGGTAGCTGGCTAATCTTTTAATTGGCCCCAAATCCCCCTAGGCTAATTCGAGGGCGGCTCTAAACAAATATGGCATCGTAACCTATAGGTTACCAGTTCAAATTTGATGCAGATTAGCGTAACCTATTTTGAGGTTACCATATAAGAGGCTTATTTCATACCCTGTTTCTCCGGTGAGCTATTTACCCTTTTTCCAATTTCAGGAGAGGTTTTTTTTGACTCGCCAGGAAATTTATTCACGTGAAGGCCTGGGAGCGCTCCTAGGTATATGCACGGGAGACAAAACTTGAGACTTGCCTTTCCAAAATGATCTAGGGGTAAAATATGTTCTGAAGACCTCAAACCTTTTGGACTCGATATTTTGATTAAATCTCACTGGGCCCCCGGGTTATATATTGTTGTCGCCCCTGGACGTCCGGTCCTCCGTCCACAATTTTAATCCGATTTTGATGAAACCTAAGGTATAGGTTTCTATACCAAAGATCGCGATTCCTTACAATATTGACACATATCATACCGTAACTTCCTGGTTTATGGCCCCTGATTGTACAAATAATCTCATTTTTTTTAGTTGTTCATTGCTCATCTGATCTCTTGCAAAATGTCGGCGTATCTTGCATAGCAACTGCTGGTTATACACCCACATTGAAATGTGGTTGTATGTTGTTGTCACCCCTGTTCGTCGGTCTGTGGGGGTTTGGATGGCTGAATGGTTAGCTTGTGCGCGCTGTATCATAACATCTGTCATTGAGTCAACTGGTGTATGTTTGATTCTCCGGTTTTACGTGACAAGGAGTAGGGTCGCCTGTCCAACCTCGTGGGTTTTCTCCGGGTCCTACGGTTTCCTCCTATTGCTTAAGACCCAAACGTGCAAGTGAATTATGAAAATAAAATTGTACCATGTGTTAGTCCCGAAATGACCTAGTTTGTGTCGGGTGGACGTTAAAACCCCATCTCTCTTGCTCTCTTCTTCGGTCCGATGACCACAATTGCTTTTGGACTGTCTAGAGGCTAAAATTAATATCATTATCTGATAATGACCAAAAGAGTTGTGGCCCTTGATCACTTTGAAAAATCTTGTGGACACTCCATAGAAACCAAAGTTGTCAACTAATTGACTTAAAATTTACACACAGCATTTAAGGTTATGAGACAAAGATTGTTAATGATTTTCAATATCAGTTAATATCTAATTGATCTAATTGCTGTGGTCGTATGTTTCGTTTCGTGGCATTATTAAACCGATTTCTGAGCATGAAAGAGATCAGATTTCTTGAGATACTTCCCTTATCAATTTTAGTCAACATCTAAGTTTTCCTTTCAGATCAGCTGCTTTTGAGACTTGGCTGCTTTGTATTCATATTTCCATGCTTCACGTGCCTATCTTACGTTTTATCATTGCTTGATAAAGACTAGAGAAACCTAGTCAAATGTCGCTCTGTAATAAGCAGTAATTGCATTCCATAGAATTGTGACCAGTGTATCCAGATCAATGACTACATGCCATTGAAAAATTTCGTACAAAAGAATAAATATACAACCTTTTGACTTTGTGAACTGCTCTGATGACTTGCTGTGGGCATAAGTTTTTTTTTATCTGGCAACCTATGCTTTGTATTTGTAAAGTCGCTTGGCAATTCATTTTGGTATAACCAAGCTGTGTTTGTTAGATTTTGTTAGGTAGTAGGTAAACCTGTGCTGTCTGATGAAGATACATACAAAAAAGATGAAATGGTGTTTAATATTCTAATTCTCTGTACCAACCAGGCTAATAAAGACAGTAATCTACAAAGGTAGAAGTGATTAGGAAAAGCCTATCTGGTATTATTAAAATTACTTTGTTTATTTACATGAAAACGTAATTAATATCAATGATATTGATCTAGTGTGTGTATATTTCAGGTCAAAGTCTAGGTTATGGTTTTGTTAACTATAAAAGAATTGATGATGCAGAAAAGGCAATTAATACTTTAAATGGATTAAGGCTGCAGAATAAAACTATTAAGGTGAGTTGTATTTGTGTACAGCTTTTATCAGTGACCAACACTATTGGCAATATATTAATTGTAGTTATAGATTTAAATTTAAATTGTTTAGGTCGTAATTAAGGTTTCAATATCTTGTGTTCATGAATTATTTTAATATCCCCACATTTTCATGTGGACATATGTCATCGCCTCTGTCCATCTGTGTGTCTGTTCACATATTGTTTGTGGACCCTCTACAGGTCAAAATTTTTATATGCTCACATGGAAATGTGATCGTATATTGCCGTCGCCCCCGTCAGCTGTCCCTGGCTGTCCACATGAATACTACAGACTACATTTATCATCTGATTATTTTGAAATTTATATATGTTTACATTAGTGAGATAAACAAGCCTATTTAATATCAGTAATTACTGTTAATTCTCTTCTAGAGTTATGGCCCTTTTTATGTGGCCGTATTATGCCGTCACCCCTGTCCACAATTTGTTTGTGGACAGTATACAGTTCAGTTTTTATCCGATTTTGACCAAACTTGAAATATAGGTCTATCTCCCAAAGATCTTGGTTCCTTTTGTTATTGGCATGTATGAGACCATAACTTGATGGATTATGGTCCCTGATTGTATGAAAAATCACGTTTTTAGCTTGTGGACACTCTAGAGGTCACAATTTTCATCTGATTTTAATGTAACTTGAAATGCATGTTTATAACCACAAGATCTTGGTTCCTTTCGATATTCGCGCATATCGGATCGTAACTTTCTGAATTATGTTTAGCTTGTGGTCCCTCTACAGGTCACAATTATTATTATCCGATTTAAAAAAACATTTGAATATGTCACCGTTACACCCTAATGACGGTTGAGTTCAAATGTCGTGAAATTCGGACCAAAACGGACGCTCCTTGTACGCAAATTGTTTACAAGTATGTAATACGTAGGTTGTGGACCCTCTAGAGGTCACAATTTTTTTTATGAAACTTAAAATACATCTTTATATCCCAAAGATCTCAGTCCCTATCGATATTCACGCATAACAGACCAAAACTTGTTGGATTATGGCCCCTGTTCTCTATCCATCTGGTGCAAAATGTGGGCGTATCTTGCCTGGCAATCGCTGGTTTCACTTTGTTGCACCTTGTGAAAGCAACAAAACCTATCATCCGATCTGTATGAAATATAAAATCTATTTGCATCATTTAAATATTAGTGAAATGAAGAAGCCTATTGAATTTCAGCAATTTCTGTTTGACACACCTACAATAATAAATAGAATACAATATCGAAAAACCATTGTTTTATCCAACATTTCATTAGTAAAAATACTAACTTCTTCAGGGATGAAGAACTAAATACAAAATGACTGGAAGTCAGTTATGACATAATATGTAGGAAATTATGACATCATAGGAATGATGACATTGTCTGTCAAAGACCCTATAATTACCTTTCTATGGTTGAATTATGGGTTACCTTAACATTGATATGGCATCTTAGAGCACCGTCATCTTAACTAGTAGTCTAATAAGAATGAAATTGAATGGAATAATGTGTGTTAATGGTAATATTTTAATACATGTATATAGTTAACACTGCTAGATGCATAGTGTGTAGAACCGGTGTCAGAGCTGTTAATAACGGGCTTCTGCGTTAGAATATTCATCAAGCAAGTAGAAAAGCTTAATTGTGATTACTATTCGTGAAAACTTGTGAGAAATATACCTGTTGTCAGTAGTCGCTTAAACCCGTCAGTATTCCTATAATTGGTCAGTAATAGTCATAAGGTGAGTACGTACGTAACTAACGTACGAAAATTAAATGGTAGGTGGCTTTTTTTTCGCACGTATACAGTGAATGGCCATTTTGCTCAGTAATCCCAGCCAGTATTAAATGTAACAGAGCTGGCCAAAATAAAAAAAATATTAAATTTCCTTTTAAATTAGCACCAGAATGTAGAATACATACATATCTTTCAGAATCTACATACAGTCATATAACTTTCAGCTCACAGATTACAAAAATTTATATTTTTGTTCCCAAACATCATCTTGCGTACGGTACGATAGATTTGACAGACAAATTTTCAGTGTAATATTGTAAATAATTCTACTTTTAACACTCTCTGATTGTTATTTCTTTATTTTTCAGGTGAAATTATCTATAGTTTACATAGTTAACCAGTGATGGGATTTTGCCCGTATATTCCGGACTTGTCCAAATCTTTTTTCCAAACGCCCAAAATTGTCCTACCGGGAATATGCCCAATCAGACATCAAGACATGGTGAATAATATTCAAAATTCCGAAATTAATATAGTTTCAGAGTGTATAACTACCACTCAACCAGATTATCGTCGATAATATGCTGGATTATTAGGTAATTAAGTGATCAACGTATTTATTGTGTTATACGGTCTATAAACCTACCTTGATTAACTACTTAATCTGCCTTGATTGACTGACTTAATCCTTTGTCGGACAATTCATCAATCTAATCTTAAGCAAAAGCCATTGTTTCCCCTTTGTCGGACTATTCATCAATCCATTATAATTTTAATCTTCGTGTTAACCTCGTGGTTTCTGCATTGTCGGACATTTTAATCGCATTGATGTGAGCCGACAATGTGTATAAACTAGTCATAGAAGTCACATATTGTAAGAGTATATAACGCCCAGATCAATAGACAGTCATTATAATTCGTCTGCAATATCACTTCGGTGGAAGCAAGCGTTAAATAAAGCTATTTCACACACACATATCCGAAAAATACAAGACATTGCTAGCACGCGTATACAGCACTCGGAAAACCTCGGCAGATTCCGTTACTCTACATCTAGCTTCGGCTGCATGACGGTAAGTGATATGTACCTACGAACTTGCCGGTTTTATAAAGAAGTTATCAAAATTGCATCGTTCGAAGCGTGTTTAGAATTTTCAGAGCAAAGTTGTCCTTGTTTGAAGAAAATCTGATTAGGTACATATCACTTACCGTCATACAACCGAGGCTAGATATAGAGTAACGGAATCTGCCGAGGTTTGCCTAGTGCTGAACCGGTATTAGAAATCTTGCGAGACGCGTGTCGAAGAAAAGATTCTATTTTGATGGCATATTCTCGGATTTATGATCATATTTTGAATGGGGTTTATGTTTTTAAATAAAGAAAAAGTAATCTAGGCAATGTTGACGAATATGTCGATTGGAATAGTGTAAATACAATTAAAATTGTTTTAGACGATAGCGCGTGCTAGAGTAGAATGCGATTATTTAGCAGATGGTGTAATTCCTCGTTGTGGTATAGCGACGTTTATTGCCCAATTTATTGTCTTAATTTAGGCTTCTGATGTTATAGAAATTATAAATTAGATCTTTATTTAAACAACAAGCCCAAAATCAACTCTGTAGACCCATGGATGGCTCGGCTACAGCTCGGATTTAAATAGGATTTCACTTATTAATTAATTCAAATATGGCGCATCCTGATGAGAATACGTCAGTTAGATCGAGGCTAAATGATAGAGTGTACTTAGCGAGGCCGCTGTAGAGCGTTTCCGCATGCCATTGAAAACTTTACTTGATAATCGAGATATGTAGGTGGAGTTAACACCTGTCAATCAAACGATCGACCAAGGTGAAGGCACATTTCACTACCATTTCTAGTCAAATATTACAACGATGATAACTATGTTCAGAATAAAGTAATTGGACTGAAATTTTCAATATATTCTTCTTTCATCATCTACTTTTGAACTGTTATAGCAAGAATGGCCAATTCTCTATAAAAATCTCCCATAATGTATCTTTAAGCTGAAGCACACGTTAATAAGGCCGCGGGTCGTGAATTTAGTTTGGGGGAGTCGAACGTGAGACGTTGTAGGGCGATGAAGGGGAAACTTACCGACATGAAACCTAGTAAAGAAGTGAATAGGTGGAGCGCTGCACGTTATCCTCGATGGCTTAAATTTGTTCTGTTCTTCGATATATTCTGCCAGTTTAAATGTAATACCGCCCATTAACGCTGTCATTGTAGTAAACAATACCCATAGCCTATGGTATAATGAGCGTGTGCTCAATGGATATTACCCTTCTAAAAGCCAATGAAAACTCTTGTCTGTCGTAAGCCCCGCCTTTTCGTCAACTTGACTGATATCACCATTGGCGAGACGCTGTTTGGATTGCCGACAATGGCTAACAGTACCGGTACACAATAAACGGATTACCAGAAATATATGTCATCAAATACGCAGGAATAATAGAAATATTAACGAGAATTTTGCAGAATTTTGCAGATATTGTCATTGTAATAAACAATACCCATAGCCTATGGTATAATGAGCGTGTGCTCAATAGATATTACCTTTCTAAAAGCCAATGAAAAGGCTTGTCTGTCGTAAGTCCCGCCTTTTCGTCAACTTGACTGACAACACCATTGACGAGACACTGTTTGGATTGCCGATAATGGCTAACAGTACCTCTACACATTAATCGGAATAGCAGTTCAATATATGTCATCAAATACGTAGGAATAATAGAAATATTAACGATAATTATGTAGATATTCTAAATACTGCTAACACTAAACCGCTATCGGCCCATATTGTTAGCAATGTCGTTTATGACTAACGGAATACCGGTAGCGGTAGGTGAAATGGCCGCCATCTTTATTGCACGAAAAATGTCGACATCATAAACTCCAGACTTCAATGTTGACACAGGAAAAGTCTAGATTTGCTCAATACTATGTATTAGGCGCACCCCTTCTGTAAATAAAAATATCTTGTAAAAAAAGTGCGCCTAATACACCAAAAAATACGGGGGGGGTTGGATGGCTGAATGGTTAGCTTGTGCGCGCTGTATCATAAAGTCTGTCATTGAGTCGACTGGCGTGGTTTCGAATCCCCGGTTGTACGTGGCAAGGAGTAGGGTCGCCTGTCTAACCTTGTGGGTTTTCTCCGGGTCCTCCGGTTTCCTCCCACTGCTAAAGACCCCTACGCACAAGTGAATGATGTAAAAAAATTTAA